TTTTTTTTTTTGCTAAAAGAGGCACACACGTACACGCAAAAATCCAAAAAAATGTTAGAAGTCGTGGGCCTCATAAAAATAACAACAGTCAAATAATCTGTTACTCAAGAGCAGTAGCTAACATTCATCCTTAATATCAATTAATTTGTTTCACTTTTGTTCATATTTAAAATTCAAAATACACTTATTGTGAACTCACTGTGAGGTGGGTCAGAAATCAGTACTATGTAGCTAGTGTTGATTTCTGTCACTTAAGCGTCATGTTCATTTAGTGGTTTACAAAGCTTTTATTATGGAGCATTAGAGCCAAATTCTATTTTTAACCATAAACATCAAGGAAAAAAATAGTGCAGCAAACACCTTTAATATGAATACGAAGTTCACAACAGAGATACATTCTGGGGAATGTAAATCAGCTATTACAAGAGAAATTCTGACAGAACAGGAAAATAAAGAAGGCTCTGTCAGACTATGAATTTAATGAGGAATGATTAAAAATGTTTGATTTACAGGTACATTACATTATGTTAAGCACTGAAAAACCATTTTAAGAAACATCAACTGAAATGCATTTAAACATACAGTACATAAATCATACCATCCACATAGCTGTAAATAACATACCTTAAGTACTTCATTTTACTTAACAGAACACAAAGCAATGAAACTTGTGCAAATGAGGACTCCAATATGTTGAATTTAAAATGCCTATGATAAAATTAATATATAGAACTTTACACTAAACAATTATATCACTGATGGAGAAATGAAACAAATACATCATCCACATTATCCCTGTTGCTAATGCATGCTCTGCAGTTGAAAATCATACTGGCCCCCTATGTCTCAAAACACGCATCACTCCATAAAGGTTACTGAAAGTTTTCACTTGGTCTAAAGTGTTCAAAGAAACATAACATCTATGCAGTTCTTTTCCCTTGTTGGGAACAGAGACAAACCCCTGTCTTGACAGGGCTGTGTTGTGAATCACGTACACTGGTTGAAAGTAGTATCTTATAAAAAGGCACATACCTGTGATTTAAGGCTATTACGGTATTTGTATCATACAGAAAGTAACGTTTAAAAATGAAATTAGTACAGCAAATGGTTGGCTTTACCTAGCAAACCACTTGAGGCAAAGCTAAAATATGTGCTTAGAAGCTTCAGACTGACAGTGATTCTCACTTCCTTAGTGTTTTTGTTTTTAACATACAATGGAAAAATACAGATTCACCTTTTAAAAAGGTATTTGCTGCAATTCCATGAGTCAGCCAGACATCTAGTACAGCTGTTGCCTCTCTGCAGGTACTGCACAAAGGCTTTATATTATTAATCTGCAAAATATTCTTTTTTTACTCTCTCCTTTTTAAAACACAATTACATGAAAATGAATCATTAAAGATGTTTTCTATATTCATATACAAAATATCAGAAGTTGGTACAAATCATGTAAACCTCCCTTTGGAAATATTTTGACTAGCCACCACAATGACCAGAAACCACAAACATCTTGTCAGTGCAAATCTATATTAGATTTTTTTTTCTGAATTACAGAAATAGCCATCAACCCTCACATACAAAAGGAGTGCTCTAAATTTGAAATGACAGAAATTATATGTTTGGTTACTTTAAAGCCACCCACATTCCCACCAAATTCAATTTTACAGTATTACAAAAAGGAAGAAAATTAAAGCTATTTGTGCAAGAATCACTACAACCATCCTTCAGCCCCAACCCCTTAATTCTTATTAGATATACAGATCCTAGGTTAACAATGGGTCCTCTTCTCTGTATTGATTACTGTTCTTCAAGCCAAGATGGAGCATCTACTCCAGGAGTTTTCAATTTGATGTGGAACTGTTTAAGCGTCTGTTCAAGTTGCTTCTGATTCCCAGCGAAGTACGCTGCAATGGCATTGTGGAACAACACGAGCTGATTGTGCAATACTTTAACCTGTGGACAAGGACAGTGGGTGGTTAAGACAGAGACACATAACTGATGCTTTAGGTTGCAGACGAGAAACCCAATTAGATGCATTATTTTAAAAGTTCAGACTAAACCAAATGGATTCTTCAATATACAGACTTATTATTTCATGCAAATTTCCAACTTCTTGTGACACCATTAGGGTCCTGGGGCCTGTTCTTAAGAATTCAACTCTCCATTTCAGCATTTCTGCCTTTCACAATGATGAAATTAATATAAGTGAGAACTTGTTTTAGACTATTAGCATGCTGCTTTGATTTATTTCAAATTGGTGTCTGACCATAGTCCTATATTTAAGTGGGGAGGGTTCTTTGGCAGAAAATAGCATAAAGGTATGTTTTGTTAATATCAGCCAAACAACATGCCAGCATTCTTGCATGATAAAAAGCAACTACACTTAAGTAAAAAATACGGTATGTCATACAGTATTAATTCAGCTTATACTGTGGTAAGCTATATATCCTCTCCAACTCCCGTTTCAGATTTTGAGTTCTTAACAATTCTTTCAAAGCAAATAATGAAGAGAAATTCAAAGTTTGAGAAAACAAAACCAAGTACTTGGTTACACCCTGGCCTAGGAAAGTTAAAATTACTCACATTGCAACAATGCATCTCAATTCTGATTTGCAAAGGGCACTTGAATGGAAATGACCACTGATTTGGGGGTAAACAAATGCCTATTAGAGACTAAGCACAAACCAGATTCAGTTTTCCTTGTAACTTAATGAGCATTTGAACAGAAGGCTTTAGAGATGGAAAGAATAGCACATAAATCTGCTGCATACCACTCACTTCCTCAGTGAAAATCCCCTTCCTAATGTTAACTCCCACCATGCCTCTAACTGAATTATCTCCTTCTAAGTCACTTAGGACGCATTCATATTTTACATGTCTAACTATACCAAAACCTTGATAGTGTCTGACATTTATTTAACACATGAGCAGGACTACTCATACATAACACAGTGTAGAAAAACAGTTAAGGACCCCCAGATCTGAAAAAAATGGGAACTAAGATGGCCATGTAGATTAATAGGCAGCCCTTTCTGAAACAGACACTTAGTCTTGCATACGCAGCAAGAGAAAAGAATGTCAAGCTACATCCTCTCTAGTTGAACGTTCATCCTACAATGTATACTCCCCACTAATCCCCCTTCAGGAACTGGCATTTTAAGCCTACTTTTGAAATACTATGACTGCCTGAGTAGGTTGCAACTACTCACTGTCCCAGTCCCCCAATCCACCAAACAGCACAAGCTGTCAAACTCCAAGCACTTTGATACAACTCATTAAAATAGGAACCAAATAAGCATACAACTCCTAAGTACTTGTGGGTCAAATCTATTCATGCTTGACATTTCTCCCATTTCAAACAATGCACATGACAATTCAGTTAAGTGCCTGTCTGTCTTGTTTATCCACTCTTGAGAAAACAGCCATTTTCCAGTTTTAATGCATCCTGCTTTATTTGAATCATAGGTCTTTCTTTTACAATCAGCATTCTGTTCAATCAAACATCTCCCTGCTAATACAAGGTTGTTTTCTGTAGTACTATCATTTTTGGGGCTTTAAAATTCTTATACTTCACTTATTAATTGAACAAATAACCATGGAGACCTTGAATCATAATACTTAGGAGTCAAGGGAAAAGACAAGGATGAGTCTGCAGATACTCAGTATTCTTATGCTTTCATTGTCAATTGACTCTTTGTTGAATAGGGCTGTAGTGCATAGACTGACAAAGCTAAACCCAAGTACGATAGTAACTCAACTGTTTCCCACTACCAGGTGGGAGGATTGAATGAATGTTATAAACAAGTATGTTTGGCTGACAGAATGATAAACATGAATTTCTGAAATTCAGGCCATTCAGTGAAATTGCTATTTTAGTCATTAAAAAATTCTTAAGCAATGAGTTTAAAAATCAAGTCAAAAAAGAAATTTGAAGTATCAAAGTCCACCTGCCAATCTGAAGTTTTATTCCCTTTCTACGATTTTACAAATTTACCTTTCTGGGCCATGTAAAGCTGAAAATCAAAAGCAGCAATTCAGACTGAATCAGAGAAAATGAATATACACAATTTACTGTCAAATGCATAAAGAGTATAAGCAGAAGATATACATTTTTTAAAAGGAACATGAAGCCTCTAGTCTCTAAGTTAGTCTTTTTAATTTAGTTACCCTATTAAAGTAACTTTCAGATAGACATGATAGTGTCCATTCATACACACTTCAGCATCTTTCACTTACTTCCAGTATATTATCAGGTTAGCAAGTAATAGTACAGTGTCCCAATTTTGCACCTGGATATAAAGAGAGACACCTGCATCCACACAGAGTTACACCGAAGTCAACAGGGATACATGGGTTGCAGAACTCTGATCACCTACAGCAGGAGCATCTAGTTCTGCAGTAGCCACAGTACAGTATTGAACTCATGCATAAAAACTATATATGCATAAAAAGGATAGCTTTAAGATCAACCATTCCCAGGTTATGAACGTCATGTCAAATTTAGAGTCCAAATAGATAAATACAAGAGACAAACGTGTGTACTCACAATGTACATGTACTCAAGAAGAGGATGAGGGCATAAAAGAAGTGGATTCCAGTGCAAAGGATCTCTCATATTTCAAAGAGCTCAAATTTGATTTTACAGAAAGTAGACAGCAACAAGACATGCACACTTAAAAATGAACAAACAAAAAATCCACACAAAATAACAATGCCCCCCACCCAGGCATTTCCTTTCAACAAATTAAGTTTTCCCCAAAGGCTATCAAAATCTGTATAGTGCCCTCTTAGTGTTTCTACTTTATAAGCAGAGGGTCATCAAGCATCAAGAATAGATTTTCATTAATCTATGCAAGCTGCTTTCTGAACTGGAGCAGGAAGAGGTCACCACTAGCTAATGGTTTCCCATTGAACCCAGGCCTCATTGATCAAAATATGACCCACCAAGGCCTCATTGATCAAAATATGACCCACCAAGGGCATTCAGAAGCAAAATCAATGCTGGAAGGCATAAGTCCTCTCTCCCACATTCCTAGCAAGAAAAAACTCATTAAAGAAAAGCAGGTACACTTAGAAACAAAAGAAATGGTACGTACCTAGCACAGTTGGGAACATGGGATAAGGAATATATTAATAGCCATTTCACAGAATAAAGCTTACCTAGACATTAAACATCCCACTAAGTATCTAACCATTCTTGCTCAAAACAAACTAGTTTTACAGAATGTGACTGCTGTTTGAAACAATGGCATATTTGTTTACAATTTGTTACATTTTTCCAGGAAGTGTATATATCAAACAAAATAAACATTTAATTACAATACAAAGTGATTTGTCTTGGCTTAAAGGAAAGAAATTCAAGAAAAACAAAAACACATTGACCTTAAACCCTCTGCTGATCAAGAATTGCAGATATTTCTTGTAAGCCTGATGTAAGATCACAGGACTCCTGTCAGCTTCACTACCTTTATCTTAACATTTTAAAAACATGTTAAGAGATTTGCCTGGTCTAAGTTGATACTTGTCTCACTTTGTAGAGACAAAAACAACATAAAAGGGGAAGGCTTAGAGGACTCGTGTAACAATTACAGAGTTTAGGATCAAACCTGGTTCTCTGCTCTGTGAGGCAGCTCATTCCATTGTCTCTCAAAACTTCTAGAGAAATGGTAGAGAAGCAAAATAATTTAAAATTAAGAAAAGCATCAACCCTCCCAGTCACTCAGATCCAAACTATCTGAATTGAAAAGCAGGAGGAAAATAAAGTGACATAATCGGTAACAAATGGATCAGACTGAAAACTAGACAATGCAAATGTACACATCTGCTATTTTGTGAAAATTCACCCCAAACTCAATGCCCCCCAAAATTCCTGAGTGACCAAACAGGGTTTAAATAAGGTTTGCATATCCAATTTTTAGACCACAATTCAGAACTATAAAGGTGAACAGCCTACAATAGCTTTTACTAGTATGTCCTAAGCAGTACACCAAGTAACATTAAATTATAAGAAGTAAAGTGTGTTTGTGTAAGACCACAGATGAAATGGGGAATTACTTTGGTTGCATAAGAGTAGTATCTGTATCACTTGGTAGGACTATCAAATATTAAACTACCCAGAAAACCAGATGTCAAAAGAAAAATATCCTCCTCCCTTCAATTTACCTGTGACATTTCTCTTGGAGCACAGACACACAAATTCCAGTTAAAAGGTACATCAGAGCAGAGCACAACAAATTCTTTGAGACTGCTGCAACAGTCTTCACATTAATTATCCACCAGCATCAGAGCTGAAAATCCTAAAGTTTTAAATTAAACCTAGGTCTCATTCAACTAAATGAAAAACTGAACCATTAAACAATAAATATTCTCTTACAATCTTACTCATGGACTTTTTCTATTTAAACTTTTTATTTATATGCCACTCCCTGAGAGACCCTGTCATTATTTGATTAGTCTTAGCATTTGTTATTGTTTGAGTAAATACGGGGCTCAGTGCTGTTTTAGCTGCTCTAACTGAAGTGAAAACCAAATGGTACATGTACTAGACACACATTTAATGGAACAGAAACAGAACTAGAATGCAGCAACCCCTCCAGATTTCAAGAACCGTTACTTAAAGACTACCACATCTATTCTGTGGGAAGCAACAAACAATACTTTAGTCTCATTCCCTACCCTGTGAAATACCCATCAATGACCGTTTCCCCAAGCAGAATACCAGCTACAACAGAAGCACCGTCGCACTGGGGTGATAGCCAGAAAAAGACTTGATGTGAAAGACAGTCAAGATTTAATAAAGGAATTTATAATAAGAAAGCTGCCACTCCCAGAGGCAGTGTGACGGAGAACTTCTCATTAGGCTGTGAGAAGGAAACATACATGAGAGAAGAGCAAAATTAGGTATAGACAAAACTGTAGTCTGGAAAAAAACAGGCTCCAACCATGGTAACTAA